AATTTCACCTGTTCCATATTTGACGAGTAAAAAGTTGCAGTATCATAAAGAAATTTTTTGCCTCTACTAAAATGCTTCTTTTGTAATCATGCTTCGTTCAGTTATCAAATAACTTTGTTCCATTTTCTAGTAGTGCATCAGACTTTAGATCTTGTTCAGTAGCCCGTATGAATGGTAAAAAACCATTCAGCTGAAAAATGTTGTCACAGGACATTTTTTTTATTTGAAAGAGCGTCTGCTACGATCTGCCTTTCTCATGACGGTCGAAAAATTCTTTGTCTCTGTTCTATTTACGCGGAAACATCCATTAGAACGATTTTAACGATGTTAACCCAATATTTCATTTTTTGTACCTGAAGTTTTTGTCGCAGAAATATTTTTTATTGTGCATTGGAAAGGACACATTTTAGTCTATTGTAAAACGTCTCTCTGGCATTTTGATATCAAGGTTTAATGGCAAAAACAGGACCAGAGGTCTTCATTCGTTTATGTTTGGAAAGTGTCATATTTTTCACTTTTTGTATTTCGCGTTAAGCTGCGTCTTTTTTCATTCCACAAAAGCCATTTACCTGTGGGACTGTACTGAAAATAATCGCAGGTCAAACGAGTTTGAAGCGGCTAAGTTATTTACAAAATACTGAAGGTATCATTTATTCTGGGCCACCCAATACAATAAAATTTTTATTTCCAAATTCAGACCACTTTCTAAATCTAATTAATAATTATAAAAAAAAGCAGCCTGCACTTGTAGTACTTTCGTTTCTTTTCTATCGTCACGCCATCGTTTTTTTCTCTTGTTATGTCTGCATACGAGGAGTCACTTTATTCACTTACTCACGTCTATTTCGTATAACCCTATTATTTTAATGATCCATTATTTGAACCAGAATTATGGCTATATTTCGATGCTGGTGAACAGTGTATCGATTATATAAAAACGAATCCAACAAAAAAAGTATTTTTAATAATTACGGGACGTCTAGGTCAACAAATAATACCTGAATTACACAATTTGATACAATTACATTCTATTTATATTTATTGTGGTGATATTACAGTACATAAACAATGGTCATATAATTTCGATAAAATCACTGATGTTTATAATGATCCAGTTAAACTATTAGTACAATTTCAAAAGGATTTAGTTGAATATGGTCTACAACTTCAAAGTATTCCTAAAATAATTAATGAAAATAACTCAAAAGTAAATATATTTTCTCAACCGGATCAAAACTGGTGTCCATGGGAAACAAATAGTTGTACAAAAAAATTAACATTAAAAGGTCAATGTACAATTGAAATTATTCAATTTGAACTGATACCATTTGAATTGTCATTAACTAACATAGAAAATCTAAATGAAAAAAATATTTTTGGTATTCTATTAAATGTTACTAGTGAAAATGTAACAATAAGTAAAATAGTTGATCATGACATAATTTTATTACAAGAATCATCTGATGATGAAAGTATATTACAAAATGATTGTTTTGAATTACCAAACAATATTTATTGGTTTAGTTTAGATTCGGACAATTTACTCGTCAAATATGGAACAGGTGAAATTCGAGATTATTGTAAAATAATCGAATGTTATTTAACCGAACAAGATAGACAACAGTTAAAAGAAATAAAATTTATGCATATTAAATTAAATAATAATGTTAACATTAATGAATTAGAATATTTAAAAAATAAAATTCAAATTAATATTGGTGTAAAACCAGTTTTGAGTGATCCACCATTGCTAATTTTGACCGATACACATTTTACAAATGTAGACGATTTAATTAATCTAACAGGTGTATCTGTCTCAGCTCTAGAAGAACCATGTCGTAAATTGTACTCGAATATAAGTAATTTTAATTTGAATACCGATGATTTTCCTCATTTTACTAAAACCATTGAAGAAAGTATACGAAATCCAAATGGTTGGTGTTACAAAAAGTTACGTGAAAAAGTGAATCATTTTGGTAAACGAAATTTACGAACAACATATTTAAGAATAACATTAGATAGAAATATTCATATTGTATCGGGAATACCGTATGTTCTGGAAATTTGGCCATCTGGACATAATAGTCCAATTCATAATCATGGAAACTCATATGGAATTATACGCGTCTTATATAATGAAATTTTAATAAGTTTATATCGTTCATTAAATGAAAATAATCAAAAATCAATTATAACACGTCTTTTACATGAAAATGATTGTACATGGATATTACCAAAATTAAATCAAACACATCAAATATCGAATGTAAGTCGTCAATGTTGTATTATGCTACAATGTTATCAATACGATAAAGAAGATACAAAACATTATGAATATTTTAATTATATAAATAATACTGATAAAACACTAAATCATTTTAATTTGGAATCGGATATGGACTATATTGAATTTAAGAACATGATGAGACGAGAACTAATAGAAAAATAAAAAGTAGAAATTTGGAATGAAATTATTACTCTAATTAATTAACACTGTGTATTCTGTCGTGAAAACTGTAAATTAGTTAAAAGCTCTCAGCAACATTCACATTTATCAAATCATCACACTAATCATTTTAGCACTTTTTTACGTATTGTGAAATTTTTTGCACTTGTCTTATATGACATAATGAACGACTTGAATCTTTTGACTTTTCTTTGGTTGTGGGTAGCCATGCAACAATCGGATAATTCGGTGACCGAACGATTCATTGCCACATGTTCGGTCATCGAACGTGTTCTGCCTAGAAACCTGATGTGACCGAACGTGTACAAACGAAGATTGCAAATATGATAGTTTATATTTTTCTCTTCAGAGATATCGGCGAGCGCTCTACTGAGAAACGATTAGGACAAAGTACCATAAACCTTATAAAGATACATTCAAATTAGGACTGCAGCTTTCTGTCTAGTTTATTTGCATAGTGGAGAAAAGCATTTTTCCATGACAACAGTAAATCAATCTGCTACAGAGGCCACATTAATAAAGTATGCTGTAGTTAGAGAGTAAATGAGATACAATGGAAACTAAAGGTACTTTGGACTTCCTGGAATAAAGGAAACAAAAAGTTGCCGCTCTGAATCAAACTTTTCTTTACATGACTACCTACTGCTACGGCGTAATCATGGCTGCTCCTACATTTAGTGTAATCTTCACCATTTTTTCTGTTTTACAGAGATTTGTTTCACGTGTTTTTCGCATGTTCTTGGCTTTGACAAACTATATTTTGGCCACGCATGCAACAATCCCAAGCTAGAGCTCACTGATCGGCAGCGAACATGTTGATTAGCGAATCGCTCGATCACTGAACACGTTCGGTAACAGCGCCGATCAGCTTGGGATTGTTGCATGCTTAGTTGTGGGTGAGAGCATGTTTTTTGTGGAACAAACATTTTTTATCACCGTAAATCGAAACGTTTTCTTTTTACTTCGTACATAAAAGAAGAACGTGACTTGCACAAACATTTTTGCTTTATAGTTTATGCGCAATATTTACTGTTTTTGTTTCGTTAAGGAAGAAATTACTTTAGGCTTTTCTTGTGAATTCTATAACTTGGCAAAGAAAGGTCGTTTGGTGCTGAGAGATGGCTCATTTTACAGGGAATTACAGGATACAATTATGTCTCATTTAGAGAGGTTTAGATTATTTTATAGAGTTTTCGAAGAACTGGTTTTCAGAAAACAAGCCTCTGGAGATCGAGAAAAAGCCATTTACATTTGCAAACTACAGAAAAGTCTTTCGGGCGTAACCTCACGACAAAACCCGACCCGAAATTTTGAGGTATGCTGATAAGCGTCTATTTTCCTGCAAATCCTTTGAAGCAAGAAAAGAATGTTATGCAGACGCATCTAGTTAAACGTACTTTTTCCAACTCGTAATCTAGATGGCAACTAGTCCAGGGGTGTAACCGGTATCAAAAATGCGATACCGGTATCGATCACCGATATACCGATGTTAGAGAGTAAATGAGATACAATGGAAACTAAAGGTACTTTGGACTTCCTCCTACGACGTAATCATGGCTGCTCCTACGTTTAGTGTAATTTTCACTATTTTTTCTGTTTTATAGAGATTTCTTTCATGTGTTTTTTCGCATGTTCTTGGCTTTGATAAACTATATTTTTTAAACCTTTAGTAGCGAATCACTCGCTGACCGAACATGTTCGGTAGCGGTCCGGTAGAACACACATTCGATCACATTGTAGTCTAGTTAGTCAATTTTATCAGGGGTTAGTTCCTACAAAAATTTCGATTTCATCCTATTTGTCTTCAGTTCAAACAAGGCACGCAACAATCTCAAGCTAGGGCAACGAGCCCTAGCTTGGGATTGTTGCATGCCTACTTGTGGGTGACAGCATGTTTTTTTAGTAGGTACATAAAAGAAGAACGTGACCCGCACAAACACTTTTGCTTTCTAGTTTATGAGCAATATTTACTGTTTTTGTTTCGTTTACTTCGAAGTGAACGCCACAAATACAGTAAAAACGGAAAAATCTACGGTCCGCCTTTCTTCTTGCCAACAAGATATAATATGAATAATTCAGAGGAGAAAATAGAAGAAAAATCATAGTGCACATAAAACGAAAGGTTCTCTAATGCTACACATAGACTTGGGACTTGGTCTTGTATAGTTCTCATTTTCTGAAGAGCCAATATCTCAGCAAATTTTAATAAAACTTACGTACACAACGCTCCTGGTTGAAAACTCTTTCAGCTATCACTGTTAGGGCGAGAGGAATATGATGTGAGTAAAATTTTCGGATTCCAACAATTTCACCCTTCACAAACTATCACTCCTTGTTCTTTCTCTTTCAGAGGCGTTCAGGGAGGGCGGGAGAGTTATACAAAAAATTACTAGTAGTAACATCGAGCCGATTGCACAACTTCAATCGTTGTGTAGAATATAGACACAGAACAGCGAATTTAGTTTTGCAGTTTACTGCAACCCTAAGTTCATCTGTTCGAATCCATATTCGTACAAAACTGATTTCATGCTTTACGATAGTTTAGAATACTCATACTATGCATTATATCAGTCCGCTGTGAACTCAAACAGTGTAATCACATTTTCAATTCGCAGCTCTGTATGTATGCATCAGATACATGTACAGGGTTATTAGTATGCGCCAAGCACGGGGAGATGAGGTTGAGAGTGGGTTCGAAAAGTAGTTGCACGGACGGTACCCTAAATTCCTAAAATACCTGGCAAAAAAAATAGTTACAGAAAAATGAGTTCGCTGCGAACTCATTTTTTATGCATAGTATCAGTATTCTAAACTAAAACTATCGAAAAACATGAAATCACTTTTGTACGAATAGGGATTCGAACAGATGAAGTTGCAGTATTCCGAAGAAATTTTTCCGTATCCTAAAATGCTCCTTTTGTAATCATGTTTCCTTCGCTTATAAAATAACCCTGTTCCATTTTCTTTATTTACAAACGTTAAAATACAAAAACAAACTTTTGTGGTTTTTTTACCATTCATACCGGCTACTGAACAAGATCTAAAGTCTGATGCACTACTAGAAAATGGAACAAAATTATTTGATAACTGAACGAAGCATGATTACAAAAGAAGCATTTTAGTAGAGGCAAAAAATTTCTTTATGATACTGCAACTTTTTACTAATGTAAAAGAGGGATTCTGATACTGTCTTGAGTTTGCTGTATGGCGCAGATGAGCATGAAAATTCAGTCGGTTTCACACAAAAATGCCACCACCCGATTCCCCTCAATCCGAAGAACATTTCTACATATTTTTCTTTAGAAAAGCTTGATTTGTATGTTGTTAAAACACTTTTTCTTACAGAACGTAAAATAAAATATTTGGAAATCTGTAGGGAACTGAAAAATCGAAGATATCTCTTTTTTTAAGTAACACGAAGCTAGTTTTCAAAAGCGTTTATAGGTTGAATACTTGAGCCACTGTGACTCGCAAAGGAGCATAAGTAAACACTTTTACTTACAAAGTGACCACACTTGTCAATCTTCTTGAATGAATATATATTTCACACAACTTATTGTAGAATCTGTTTACTTCCATTATTATTTGGTATTTGTTTCGTTCTTTCGTTTCCACCACTCATGTTTAACTGGAAGAAAAATAATTACTGTTGAACGGTAAAAGGAAGAATATTTTTTTCCTACTTTTCCTCCAACACAAACTGTGACATGGTTTTACTTTTTCTTACCCGAAAACACAGTCTATAGAGAGACAGCACGTAAGTGATAAATTCGACACACATGTAAAGATAACGATCTTGTTTCGCCAATACTTCCTCATACACATGGATGCGTCATTATACATTTTCCTATGCCCCGTGGATACGTATTGTGATTGATCATTCTCTTCATGGTTGAGAAAACTCAACAAGGACCTTTAAAAACGTTTCTCTATTCGTTCATTATCTTTCTGAAACATTATGATGATAAGATTCATTATCGTTCTTCTAAGTTTATTGGTATCTTCGATATTATCACAAACAAATTGCGATGCTGGTTGTTCGGACGAAGTACTACGTAAAATCAAAACCTATCACTATCGTCACCAAGAAAGATCTTTCACCGTTTATCTCGATTAGTCCCGTTGGTGTTCCGTACGGATTTGATATTGACTTGATGAATTTGATTGCAAGTCTCTACCAAATTAATTTCAAGTATCAGTATAAAGAATTCTCTCAATTAATACCAGAGATTCAGCGCAACAAAGATAAAATTTCAATTAGAAGCTGTGTATCAACGGTGTCTATAATAACAATGATGATAATAATCGTTCATGGAGAAGTTGTATGGATATCGTTAATGGATAGAAACATAGTGATGAAACCGATACAATTGCCCGTGAAAAACTA